GAAAAAAGGATCACAGTTCTATGCTGCTTATGGATCTGAATTACCAAGTTGTCTGGACAGAGTTGGACAATCTGGGTGTCAAATATGTAAAGCTGGACATCTTCCGGTAAGACCCGCAAGTGAGTGTGTCAAAAAGATCCAACAAGGAGCTGACGATGAAATGATTCGACTATTTTGTGACTTAAAGCTAATCGAAAGGCCAGAGAATATGGTGGTACAGCTGGATAGAGATGAGTTTGCGTATATTGATACGGATAAGGGGAGAATTACACAGTATTGCGCTGAAAATGAGGAGAAAACTATGCCTGCGTCTGAAAATTCATACGAACTTCCGTATTCTGGTATCATTAAATTTAACAAAGATTGCAGGTACACATTGGTCAACAGTCCATTTCGAGATATCTTGCCCAAACTTGAAAATATAGAAATTAATGCAGTGGAAGAAGTTCCTGCATTCAAGCCAAGAAGTTCAGTGGCAGAAGATATCAGCAAATTACAGATCCATTTCAGGGATCATGGATATATTTATTTAATTGTATCTGTGGTCCTGTTATCTATCATTTTACTCAGCATAGCTTATCTTTGCTTCGCAAAAATTCGATACGTAATTCTGAGGCGACGAAGGTTAAATATGAACCTCCTCGAAAATGCCAATATTGAACTGGTTCCCTCCAGAAATGCTCCAGCTGCCCCACAATATCCTAGGCTACAAATTAGTGCATCTACTGGTTTGATGGCTATCAAGTAAAAAACATTCACTCCCTTGCAGGATAAAATGCCAATATTGAATTGGTTCCCTCCAGAAATGCTCCAGCTGCCCCACAATATCCTAGGCTACAAATTAGTGCATCTACTGGTTTGATGGCTATCAAGTAAAAAACATTCACTCCCTTGCAGGATAGCACCTCATATCTAGCTATTTTTGCTTATATCCTAAGTTTACTTTACTCAATACTCTATATTTTTGTGGGGTTTGAATGTAGATCACTGACATATATACTTATATCTGTCTTATATTATGTGAGTATTTTGTCAGAAGTACCAGCAAGTGTTGATCTTACAATTGTGTGTTTTGAAGTACCTTTTTGGATGTACAGGTGTGTGGTTACAGACTTTACAGGTGTATGTTTTGTTCTTGACTTACTCCTGTGTTCAGTGTTTTGCTATAGACTGGTTGCTTTGCTTTTGATGATCTGTTGGAAAGAAAGCTGTGGAAGAAACAAACAAAAAAGGAAAAGGGACAACAACCAATTCAGGAGACAATATTTTATTAAAGTCCCCCTATCAACAACAACTCCTAAGACGCGTGGAAATACATACAATACGCGCGCTCAAACTAAATCTCCAACAGTGTGGAAGCTGTCCAAGCTTATAGTGTCCGCTGCAGGAACAGGCATTGGAGTTGGGTTCCTTGGGATAGTCCTGGCCCGACTAGAACGAAACCTCTGCAGCATCCAGGCATGCAGCAGGGGCCACCCCAGCCGCGCAAAGACCTCCGCTGCATTGAGTTGCTCGGACTGGACCTGAGAACATCAAAAGTCAAGGCACATGCAAGTTGCAAGCAAAAGGTCATGCTTACGAAAAGAGGCCATTAAAGGTTGGACAGTGGCCAGAGATGGTAACTCATCCATTTCCATTTCCTCAAAGGAAGGATTAGGAAATGAACGAGTTTCCTCTTGCCCATTATCGTTAATCTCATTATCGGCCCTTTCCTTCTATTTGCCAAAAGCAAAAAAGCACAAGCAAAAACCAAAACACCAAGGTTAACCAAGATCCATTAATCCAGTGTTAAAAGTTAGCACACCTTGCACTTAATACTCCTGCAACAGCAGACGATCCCGGCGATGAGGGAAGAACCGACACCCAGAGCACTGCCTACCCAGGTTAGAACGTCAAGCCAAAAGGACATGGGTGAAAATTCCGCTTGAACCAGGGTCCCATCTGGACGGCGGGCAGTTAGGTTAAACCCATCAAACTGGTCCAGGCCATCCAAAATGGTTGACAAATTTCCCTGAGACCCCTCAGTGGATGACAAAGGAATGGAAGATGTGGGTATTGGAACCCAGGCACCAAGGGGATCTACCACAGCCGACACTGGATTCCAGGAAGGTTGTGGAACAGTCAAAGGTGCTGCAGGTACAGGGGTAACCCTAGCTGTGGTTGGTGGCTCCAGAGATGTCGTCACTGGTCCAGAAGTGGTGGTTGCCTGTGCCAAGGTCGGAACCATGGTTGATGTATGCGGTTCCTTAGTGGTGACTGCCGTGGTTGTAGTCATCACTGCAGGAGCCACTGTCCTCACTGAGTCCCACTGTTGGGTTGGTTGTATCATCCCTTGAACTTCTTCCTTTGGCAGGCTTAAGTTTTCCTCAAGCTCTTGGACTTGTACAGCAGATTTTTCTGAAAAGGAGATCAAAAAGACTGAATAATGAGGCCTGTATTTCCAACTGTTGAAAAAAGGGGTGCTTACTTTCATGTTTGAAGAAGCACAGATCCCAAGGCTGCACCACTTTCTCCATGCCTTGAGTTTTCCCTTTGCAATATGTTTTAGCAAACAGCCTCACCACCTGAAAAAACAAGTCTAATTATTCTTCTTGTTACAGAAAAATGAGAAGAGCTAAGGAAAACCACAAACCTTCAATCCCTTGTACCTCACACAGTCCAAATCCAGCCTGGTACCTTGGAAGTCAACAGCATGCCCAAATCTTCCTGGCTTCTTCACATCACAGACATCCTCACACACTAGGCTGCCTGCTACATTGCTGCAAGCTTCTAGATGACCACTCAGCATCTGAAGATTTCACACACAAGAGAAAAGCTGAAATTTTGGCCTTTCAAGGCACTTTTTGTTCAAAAAACTTACCAAGAGCAGGGTAGATGTCACTGCTACCAAAGTGAAAAAACCCATCTTTTTGTCCGTTTTGGCAGGTTCTTGAGTGTCCTTGACTTACAAAAATATCCTGATTCGTTTCCCGAAAACCGTTTGTTTGTAGAGGGCGCCGTTCTCCGTCCCTGTCGTACGTCGTCGTCGTCATCTTCATAACGCGTTGTCGATTTTTGTGCGGTTTAAAATCACGCAAAAATCTGGTCTTGGTTGAGAAAACTGTCTAAAATCATAAGGGAGCAATATTAGAACAAATATGACACAAGAACACTGCAATCAAAACCTTCAACACTCACCTGCAGTGAGATGCTTACAGTTCCAAAAATCACCCAGAAATGAGCTCTGAGCACATTTTTCATGTCTCAGGAAGGGATGAAACAAGTCTTGAGACTTGTTTTCATTCAAGTGTGTGACTTTTTGCCACATACCAGTCTGATTGGACTGGGTGAACTCTGCAGCATCTCAGGGAATTCCTGAGCCTTGGGTGCCCCACAAAATGTGTGTGAGGCAAAATATCACCCAAATGCCAATTGCTCTGCTGCTTTTTGAGTGTGCCACATGGGAAATCGATGCCCAGGCATGTCAAACACTTTAAACATCGATTTTTGAGTTCACTTTTTGGTATTTTCCGCACTTGGTGAAAACTTTGTTTTGAATTGACTTTGAAAAGGTGGAACTTTTCTTCAAATTTGCCCGCGGTGAGTTTGTCACCGAAAGAAATAGTTACAGTGTCCTACGTCATGTTTATAATACTGCTCTCTACTGTTGCAATTCCCGCATTAGCCTTGGGTGCCCCACAAAATGTGTGTGAGGCAAAATATCACCCAAATAAAAGATGCTCTGCTGCTTTTTGAGTGTGCCATATGGGAAATTGATGCCCAGGCATGTCAAACATTTCAAACATTGATTTATGAGTTCACTTTTGGTATTTTCCGCACTTGGTGAAAACTTTTTTTTGAATTGACTTTGAAAAGGTGGAACTTTTCTTCAAATTTGCCCGCGGTGAGTTTGTCACCGAAATAAATAGTTACAGTGTCCTACGTCATGTGTATAATACTGCTCTCTACTGTTGCAATTCCCGCATAGCAACTCGCTGCCCCAAAGCAGACGATGACATCGCGTGTCCTAGATACACTGTCTGGTTTGCGGTCATTTGCCCGGTCCCCTTTCCGTTTTCCCCATTCTAGTTGTGCAGACGCATCTGGTTTGTTCTGAATCTATAAAGGTACCGCGAAGTGTGTATGTCAGCATTCATTGCTGGGTTGACTCTTGCTGGTGAAGCTCACGAAATATATACGCATTCACTTTACCGAGAAGTCTAGATTCACTTTTACCCCGGCCATAAAGAATTAGAATTCTTCTCGACAGAACGTTATCTTGGAAGGAACTAAGTTTTAGATTAATTGCGTAAGAGTGAGAGACATTTCTTTCTACAAGAAAGTGTCTGAGGTTTTATTCTTTCGCCGATTTAGGATAACAATACATTTTTTAATAAGTCGAGAATCAGGTGAATCGCAATAAAACCGCCCCGTGTTGTTAAGTACTAACGCGACGAGGATACTTGACGTTTTCCAACGCTGTCATGCGTTTCGAAAAAAAAATTAATAATAATCATGGAACCAGAAGTGAATAGGGTTGTGTACGTGGGATCAAGTGACTGACTGGTTTGTTTGTGTTTGCCTTTGGAAAATAAATTGATCAACCCTTCAAGAGTCATCTTTGGGCCTTCTGAAACCATAAGTGTAATTTGGAGTTGTTGAAAAAATTATATAGCTCATGTTTTGATATTTTGAATGAATGAATGAACAGAACACCTTATTTGTCGCTTTTCAGCATTCACATAAGGTTCAATCAAGATTCCCACAACCAAACCCCCTCCTGACCCAATCAAAATCCACTCAATGCCATTTAATCACTTCAGAGCAGGAAACAGAGCACAAATTGATTTCAAAATAAAAGAAAATACAATCCATGAAATACAACTGGACATCTGGCATGTATGCATACACCCATTCATTCCCTAACATTGGTAACAAAATACAATATTCCGATGTTTGTCGATAAGTTTTTGAATTTTTTTTTCTTAAAAAATATACGACCAATCCTCAAAAGAGGTATAGATCAGGTTTTTTTTTCAAACTCAAAAGACACACAAGGAAAATCTAAAATCATGTAGGCTCTTCTTTTTTTTTACAATATCCCTCAAATCTGCATTTGTTCTTCAAAATCTTTGGTCTCTTCCATTTCATATATTTCTCCCCTCTATTTTTGGTTAATCAATTCTTCGGGGAAAAATTGAAGTTCATTTTCTCCACAAAAACTATACAATCGAGGGAAGGAAAGCTTCACTTTCGGTTCGCCTAAAAAAAATAAAACTCGAGAAAAAATGAACGAAAAACGCATCTTGTTTTTTGTTTTCCTCTTGTTCTTCAAAGGCATTCGTCTTCGGCTCTTTGCAAATCGTCTATGTATTCGCCAACTATTGGTATGATCACGTCAAATGCCTTCTTCCATGATGCAACCACAAACTCTGGAGGATATTCCAATGTCTCAAACATGTTATTCTCCAAGTCCATCAGGGTCTCAGCAAACATATCCGTTCCTTTCTGCAAAAAAAAATAGAATTGTTAATGCATATAACTGTAACATGTTTTTGACATCATATGTGCTTTTCCCTCCGAAATGGCGTGTTTTTTGTTGTTGTTGTGTGATTGCTTGGATAAAGGTTGAATAAGAAATGATCCTCGCCTCGCCACACGTCCATATTGGGAATGCCTATCGTGTTTCTTCATTATTATTTGAAATAAGGCAATTTCAAGGAATTTTTCGGATATTTTTGGACTTCCTGGAAAGACCAGAGCCTTCTACACGTATTTCTGCGGATATTTTTCCAGAAAAATTGCGACTGAAAAAGGCGAAATATAAAGTTTTTGATAGTTCATTTTTTAAATGAAAATTCTGATTTCTGAATAAGGCATGTGGATGAGTATCTCCTCCAAGTACACATCAGTTGGATAACGATTTTGAATCCTCCCCGAGTTGGAAACATTAAAAAAACTCCAAAATTCAAATTATCAGTAAATCCCTATATACACATATGCAATTTCAACGGGTGTAGTCCAAAAGCCCCACTACCAAAAGCCCCCCTTCATGCAAAAATTGGGGATTACAGGTCTCCTCGTAACTCTTGATGGTAAACTGCACCTTTCACCAGCACGCCTAGCACAAGGCCAAGTACCAATATGTTTATAAGTTGAGTATATAAAGGGATTCCTCACCTGCATGCATTGGTCATCAGTGATTCTTTGAATGTTAAAGCGTCATCACTTGCTGACTTCTGCAAAATCTACAGTTCACCTCGTTTGATTGAATGGCTGGTGAACTTCATATCATCAGAAATCGGAAGCGTGGTGAAAAGGCATACTATAATGGCTATTTATTCATGGTTAAGAGAACAATTTCCCCTACTATAGGTGCTGGAAATGTGCTAATGAAGAAGGAGATGAGATATGAGGGCCACATTGAGAAGAAAATGACATTGAGAGCATCAGTGACACTGAGGAAGAGGCTGCAGAAGGCAATTTTGAAGATGATTATTTAACAGTCATTTTGAGGACTAATGAAACCAAGCAGCCCTTCTCAGAGCCACCTAATGCTGTTATGAAACTTGCATTAAAAAGGGGGGCTTTTGGCAGGGGGGGGGGGGGGCTTTTGGTTGGGTACACATTTCAACATCCCTGATTTGAAAAATGTTGGGTCAAACCTCCCTCAATAGTTTAATTTTCAAAGACTTTTGTAATTGAATCGGGGATAAGTTTTGGCAGACCTTTTCCAGAAAAACCAAAAAGAGATACAAGAGGAGATACTGTATTTGTGCTATTCATAATTTGTCTAGTATGCAAGGCATTTTTGAAATATGAACTGTTCCATTGCTGTAATTTGGACAGAAAATGATACACTTGATCAACTTACTCAAATTAAGGAAAATTCCCTCACTGGAAAACTTTGAAGCCATAATTTGTTCTTCTTTGCCTTTTCAAATTCAACCCAGAGAGGTTCAACTGCATTGACATTTTTCTTTGCATTAGAACAACATAAATTTAAATTCGAAAGATTATATATAAGCAGTTAACTTTTTTATTTTTATGATTGAGATTTTTATTTATTTTTTACTGAGAGTACATTTTTTCAGTTCTTCTTACGTGCAGATCAGATGCCTTGAGTCCAAATGGATGATGCCTGGTTGCAATTTTGTACAACAGTTCATCCATACATTCCAGGTCATCCACATTTTCCACCAATGTGCCCATGCCCTTCATAAAGGTGACAGCATGGGCTTGTAGTGCCTTGTTATTCGGCAAATCGTCCAATGTCACATGCCTGAATCTCGTGAAAGTCTGCGTATATGTAGGATTTTCCGAGAAAAACCTTTCGAAAGAAAAGAATACATAAATTGAATCAAAATTTAGTGATGGATTGGAGACAGAAACGTGTGTCGTCAGCCGACAGCGTGAAGCGACACCTATTGTAAGTCACTGGAAATGAAGAATCGCTTCGGTTGCAGAAGATGGACGAATTAAAAAAAAATTTCGCTGCAAGAAATCGCGTGATAAAAAATTTCTCATGAAGAACTCACATTCCAGATTCCAACAGCAGAATATTTCAGTCTTTTTATAAAGAATTTTTCTTTTTACAGCAGATTTTTTCCTTGCACTCTAACTATGATGTTTCACCAACTTAATTCACGGTTGATCTCATTTTCAGCAAACTTCTCAGATTCACAGGTAAAGCATATGATTTCTTTCAAGAAATATAATATTTTAACTAAAATCGTTCTTAATTCAAATTGAACAAGTTTTTATATCTAGTTCAGGGCAGAAGAGTTTAAAATCATGATTGCTGAATCGAAATTTTGATTTCAAAAGATTTTCCCTGCAACCAAAGCATGAGAAGCATCAACACACTCCTTTAAATCTAGTTGAATAAATTATAGAACGAAACTGGGCTTTGTTTTTGCTGATGAATTGTTCTCCTCAATTTTGAGATGCAAAAAAATGAATATAGGTTGCATTTTTATTTGAATACGTTTCACTTGAACAATACCTCATACATTCAACATCTGAAAAGCAATCTTGACTTCTTGACGGGAAACTTGGTTCCAATTACCTCCTTTAAATATTTAAAATTTTTTAAAAATAAAATTGAATTTTATTATTGTCGATAAATTGTTTTTTTCCATGTTGAGACACACAAAAATTGATATACGTGGCTTTTTATATAAATTAAATACGGGTAAATAAATATGGGATGCATTTTTATTAATACGTTTCACTTGCTGAACAATACCTCTTACATTCAACATTTGAAAAGCAATCTTGACTTCTTGACAGACAACTTGGTTCTCAATTATAGCTCCTTTAAATATTGAAAAAAAAAAATTTAATTAAAATTGTATTTTATTATTGTCGATAAATTGTTTTTTTCCATGTTGAGACACACACAAATTGATATACGTGGCTTTTTATATAAATTGAATACGGGTAAATTGAGCAATAAATGCACCTTATATATATTCCGCATTTGAGGATCAATCGTGACTACTTACTTGACAAAAAATTTGGTTCCAATCATCTTCTGATGCTTGTCCATCAATTTCCAGGACTCCCTGATAGCGTCCTTTTGTCTTGGGGTCAGCCCTGACGACGGATCCGGCACATCCTTTGTGTTGTTGTTGCCCATGACCTCCCCAAACAAAAGAGTTGAACAAAACGTTTTCCTGCTAACTTTTCAAAATCCACTTTCTTTCCTGTGTAGAAGAAAAATATAATTTCTTCAATATTCTCTTCATGAGCTTTCAAACACCGCGACGAATTCATTTTCTCGCGCAATATCAGCTGCTAAGCTAACAGCAAAAAATGAAGAAAATATGAACTCCCCCAAATTTTGTTTCTCAATTTCTTGAAAATTCCTTCAAGAAAATACCGATTGGTAACGAACAATAACTCACTGAATTTTGTGAACAGAATCTGCCACAGACGCGAAAACTGTGATAGAATGATCGTTTATCTTTTGATAAAACATGTCTACATAGAGCTGAAATTTTATTTTATTTTTGCAATCCACAGGTAATTTTATTTATTGTTCTTTGAATCGATGTTGAAAAAAGAACGAAAAATAAATTGTAAATAACCCGCAGCTTTGGAACTCGCAAGAATTCTTTCCGCCCACCCTTCTGAGCAGAATTTTGCGCAATTTTCTTTTTGGTCAAGATATTTTCGCTGTGAATGATTGATTGATTGATGTATTCAAGCTTTATTTGCTGCTTATCAGCATTCAAAAAGTTCACAAAATTTCCCGCGAGCGTCCTTCATAATTTTTTTATTTTCATGTTTTTTTTTCTTTCCGAGATCGGCAAAAATCGCACAAGGCAATTACTGTACTGAGCAGAAATTTAAGCGCAAGGTGTTCAGCCTGTTTGCAGATAATTTTTCATTTATTAAACCAAAAGAATCTTTTAGGCGAAATCATATAAATTTCTGATCGCTACGGCGAATGATGTATCATCACTTCGGCGATTATACGGGTTATGTTTGATTGATTCCACTTGATCATGTCCTGCTGGGGGCTCAAGATCCTCTATCATGCAATCCAGAGACTAAACACAATAGTCAAAAGAGTGGCTTGAATATCATCAGAGCAATAAATGAAAATATGATGGAGATGTGTCCTCATCTTCTAATGGCCTGAGGCAGTCTTGTATATGAGTTGTTTGTCTTCTATTACTCCCACTATACTATATGATGAAAAGCGTGGCTGTCTGATTATATTCCGCTCTCGTTACGCTTTTTCTTTGTGATGTTCTCCTCTGAGCTGTTTTTGTTGTTGTTGCCCAGCTTTCTGTTATTAGTTTCCCATTTCCAGCTTGAATGAAGATTTGCTCTACTTATGCACGAGGGGCATTCCAAAGAAATATACTGTTTATTTACCCAAGTATATTCCGTGCATCGGTGGGACGATCTTGAAAAGAACAGTTTTTAAAGGGAAAAATCATTAAATTGGTGAAAGAAAAATACAGGAAAACTATAGGTAAATATCATTAAAATGTATAAAAAATGAGCATTCAAACAAAAACCATCACACACAATAAAGCATTTTTTGAAAATGATCTGTGGACCCAAAAAAGTTTTTTTGAAGACATAAGCAAAGTGTATTTGAGTTCTTTAAGTCAAATTTCTGGGGACCAGGAAAAAAAATTGACTTAGGGAGGTTATGAATTATAGGGAGCTTCAAATTTTTGCAGGTTTTGAGTTAAGGAAACAAACATTTTTGGTGCAAAGAAAAATAGATAAGGAATTGTGGGAAATTATAGATGAGGATATTCTGGTTTTAAACTTGTTTCTTAGCTGATCTTGGAGGCAGGGGTTCATTGGTTCAATTAGTCTTACACTCATTTCAATATACACAAAATCATTTGTTTTATTGATTTTCTCTTTCATAATTCCAAGAAATAATAACCCAAAGTCCTCAGAACAACTTACAGATAGGCGTGAGAGAAAAGACCTCGAGTTAGGCAGGTATTTAATGCATTGTTTCTAAGGGAATTAAGACAGGGACTTGAAAAAAAATTGAGTTAGAAAGGTATTTGACTTGGGGAGGTTTGACTTATCAAGGTTCAACTGTAAGACAATAATCAGCCTCAAATAACATTGTGGCTATACATCAGGAAGTTTCTGAATTTTTCTTTTCACTTAGGGACCTAAATAAAAACGTGCATTCATTCTAGAAAATAAAATTTTTAAATGAGATCTGTTTCAACAAGATGTTACCATAATACAAAAATATCAATGCTTGTCCAGCCAAATTTGGCAATTTCTGGTCACATGTGGACAAGATTTTTGGAATATTTTAAGCAAAATTATTTCTGCGTGAATTGTATTTGATATTGCAAATCTTATACGCATGCAGGACTATTCAATTCAAATTTGCCTTCGGGGAAGATGATTTTTACAGTTACCAATTCTGGATATACAGTGGCCCCTGCCTAACAGACCTCCCGTGTAAGGGATTTTTGCCAAACAGACCAGCTGTGCAAGCAGTTTTTCCTCCTGCCCAACAGACAAAATCCGCCAAACAGACTTCNACAAAATCCGCCAAACAGACTTCTTTTGGTTTGAAATTAGTGTTGAAAGTTGAAATTTTTAATTTTTTATGTAATTGAATTTGTGTAAAGGACTTTTCGTCTAACAGACTCGTCCCTTGCACAAATCAAGTCTGTTAGACGGGGGTTGACTGTATGTTTTTCTTTGAACAGAAAGAAAAGCTACAGCCAGAAGCATTGCAATTTATATTTTCCCAAAAATATTTCTCAAAAGTGTACTCCTTTGGATGAATTTATTAAAGGGTATACATAAAAACAACTGTAACTTTCTTCAAACTCTACTCCTTTTTCATGCTTCATGTGTGCAATAAAGAAATATATAATTTTTTGTGTGCCGCAATTTTCAGCAACACAAGAATCTGCTAGCTCCAATAGAATGGCCCACATACTGAGTCCAGCCATCTATTTCATAATATCCTTTCTGGATCATAGTGGGGGGTGGGTTTCTTTGACAATGAGCAAAATGTTCCACGAGTGAAAATTTATGACCAAGAAGGGTTTCCTTTCATTTCCGTGGAATGAGTGTGTTTAGTGGGAAAATTAATGATCCAGCTTAGCTTCGTGTGATTAATTTTCTACTGTAATTCTGGAGGAAGTTCTGTCATTATTCAACCTCTCTACGGGAGGTAGAATATGATATGTTTCGTCGAGGATAAATTTGGACACATAGTGGTGTTGTGGTGTGGGAACTAATTATTTTCTTTCAACGCTTATCACTACGTTTACATCTGGTTTTTTTGGAAATTTAAATAAAAATTAAAACGTGCATTTAATCAATAAGTCAAAAAAACGCCATTCGAATTTTATCTACATATTGTAAGCCTTGAAAGGAGCTTTTCCGCAAATTATCCTTCATTTTATTCAGTTTATCCAAAATCAGGAGAGTTAACTAATTCCATCATGCTTGATTTAATTGATTAGCCTCCTCAAAAAATTAAATTTAAATCAGGATTCATATTCTTTTGCCCTTAAAAGACACTAAACAACAAAGGACGATGTTCACACTTTATTACTGTATTAGTCAAAATAAAGTTTACAACAAGCAACTCCACTTGAAACTGTGAAATGCACTGTTGATGCGTAAAATGCATCCTAACTTAAGTGGCTTAAAAAAATCACCCAAGTGGGGAAATTGGTGCACACTGGGGATACGTTTGTAATTCTTGTTGTCCGTAGACCGAGGTAAATAAAAATATCCGGTTAAAAAATATATTCAATATATTCGCAAGTCACAAATAT